ATATGTCAACCTGGTCCCCGTTGTCTGTTACAGACGACAAAATAATAGGCCGTCTCATCCCCGTTGTCATGTACACACAACAGGCTTTGGTGTAACTTGTCCTATGTTTATCTGGTTATCGCACTCGACATTCGCGTTATACAATTAATTGTCGCTACAATCACCACCCATCAGTTGGAAAGAAATATTTGTATAAGTGCATATTACACAATTTTCATTTTGTGACTTATTGTTTTCGAACTTCCTGCAATATGTTTGTGTTTGATGTCTCAAATATAAACAATATGGCGGCAACTTAATTCGATTTGAACACTCGTAAATTCATCACCAAATATGTATTTAGATTTATGGAAGTAAATATGAATATTTGAATGTAAGTGTAGCAGTGGTGGATTTTGTAGATTAAAACACTGTGAGAGTTCTTCACGATTTATTGTGCGTAGTTCCGATTCCTTTGACATTGAATTAAACCTGCAGTTTTATAATAATTACATGTCAGATATATGTATGGGATCTACAACTCATTCATAACGCACATATACTTGAAGCACATATTGAATTTACAAGAAGTTATCTTAAGATGTTACATGTAAGATTTTAGTTCTAGAAATCATAAAAGTTATATTACATCTAGATTTACATTATATTTACTGATATTTATACACATGTAATATTGAACATATGATGTTAATCTTAACTTATCTTATCTCAGTATTTATTGATACGGAGGTTACTTAATAAATAGACATAGAGTACAATAAAATACATTCATCAATACTTAACTAGTATGATCGTATCTATCAATTTGACAATATAAATGGAAGCAGATGAATTAGAAGTATTAATTTGTGAAAGTTAGTAAATTTCTTACCAGTGTCCTGTCCTGTCTGCTTCGTCAAGACGTCATGTAGTCTCTGATAAAAATCGCGCCAAAACCACCGGTCAAACAAAGAAAACAATGAAAACCTCGACCATTGGCTAACCCAATAGGTGACAACGGGATAACTTACACAACTGACCAATGATAAAAATACATATAACCAGACCAATCCAAGAGGCAAAAATAAGGAAATAACTATACCACAATATAAAGACCGCTATTTCTATACCAGAACATATACCGTAATATTATAGATATAGATATCACAAATATCGTCTCTGCCACATTCTCCCCCCTTCTGAGAAAATATCGTCCTCGATTAAACCATCTGAAATAAAAATAAAAATATCAATACCTGGACCCTGAAATACAAGGCTTGTTCATATATATGTAACATATCAAAAAATGAAAATCTCCACATGTTAATGGTCAATAATATCTTACTGCACATGTGAAAATAAATCATTTGACAAATACAATATATATCTATGTCGTCACAATACGGCATATCGCTGAACAAATATCCATCTTACAACCTGCCACCTGGTCAAGTAAATCCCGCAGATAATTTGCTCGAATCATCCAATCTGGGTCTCCCTGCTGCTGAGACATGACAAACTCACCGGTGGTCATTCAACTCGGTGGTTTCCGGTTTCGCACCGGTCTAGTGCGTCCTTCATCTGCAATATGGAAAGGGGAATCCCTGACTTCCGGTTCTTGTATTTCCTGTCCAACTTCCGGTTCTTCCACTTCCTGTTCATCTCCCTGTTACGGTTCGTCCGCCTCACTTTCTGACATCTCTAGGGCGTCCCCCTCATCTATGTCATCGCCAGAGGCCATCCACCCACTGCATATATGGGATAAGTTAACAAGAAATAAACATTTTGTAAAAATTCAGAATAAGATATGGATTCATATATGAAAATGTAGTTATTATTATCTAATATTAGAGTTGATTCTCTTAAAATTTATTTAACAAAGCACTATAGAATATTCATGTAACTATGAAATAGTTAGAACAGGTTATAGAATAGTACACTCATAAATTCCATCCAGTCCAGTCCAGCCCAGCCGCCAGAGATGTTGTGAAGATAGATACACACCAGTATCAGTACTTAGTGATCATGACACTTTAAATAATAGCATCACTTTCAATGTAAAGTTTTGCTGTGAGTGAGATTACATATCAAGCCTAATAGTTTGACAAATGTAGTCAGATATACTTCCTATAGGAATGGATATGTTGATATCATCGCTGCATATTAAGCACCCATTTCATAGAGTTTTTAGATCAAAATGATCATGATTACCAGTTATACCAAATTGAGAAATGTTTATTACTAATTGCATTCTAATTGCAATCTGTTGTTATAGAGTTGGCATTCAAATATAATATTAAATACATTTTCATGTCCACACCTACATGCTGGTGTGTCATTCAGATGATCCATATATAAGTCACTATTTAGGTTGCTAGCATGATTTCTCAGCTGACAAATTATGATATTGAATTTTCTTGGCCCATAGTATTTAAATATGCAAGCAATTTCTTCAGTGTTGTTTATATTATCAGACTTGATGATTTTTTTTAAGTTGTTGAATGGGTGCAGCATTTAAAGTTTCTGCAGATAGAAGGTTAAATTATCTACACATTGAGGGAAAATAACTATTGAAATAATTCTCAGTTCTACAGAAAGGGGGATGAAAACACGGCTATTTCTTAGTAGGTATCTTATATTTATATTGCTGTGAAGGTATGGTTCAATGATTTCTTCTAGGTACTTAGGCGATTCCTTATTTAAAATTTTGAACATAAGTACTAATTTATGAATTTTTCGCCTATAACAAAGTGATTAAAGTCCAGTTTCTTCATAAAGCTTACAATGAGAGGTCCCTCTACGCAATCCTGTAATAATTCTTTATGCCTCTAGCTGGATTGTCTAAAGAATATTTTTATTTTGGTTACTACAGTTATCCCATACTACATCCCCATATTCAAGTATTGGTCTAATAAAAGAGGTATATATTGTAGACTTTTTCTATCCAATTTGCGTTTTAACATTTTCAATATATTCATTCTTTTATAAGCTAGCTCATAAATGTTGTCCATTTTCCATCACTACTAAAAGTTAAACCAAGATGCTTATGAGTTTGTTTATTAATTACAGTTTCATTACCAAATAAGATATCTGGGTGATTTTGTTCCCTTTTGATCGAGAAGATTACTGATTCAGTTTTTAGTGAATTAAATTTGATATCCCATTATTTTGCTCATACATTAATATAACTTAGATCATTATTTAATTTCACTGCAATTTCAGTTTGATTACATGTAGTCTATCACTTCATAGAGAGAAGTATTATCTGCAAAAAGTTTTATTTTACTTGTTACACATTCTGCTATATCATTAATATAGATTAGGAAAAGAAATGGACCAAGGACCAAGCCTTGGGGTACACCGGCTTTGACATGCTTAAAAATTGAATAAACCCCCTGTTAGATAATTACTAAACCATTGTAATATTTCCCCTTTTATGCCATACGATTCCAATTTAAAAAGTAAACCCTTATGTCAAACTCTATCAAACGCCTTACTTACCTCACAAAATACAAATCTGATTTCATTATTTACAATAGTGTGATATATAGACAATAACTGGTTTACAGTCGAGTCTCTTGGTAAGAAGCCTGATTGGTGCTTCGTTATGATATCACATTTTTTCATATAATTAAACATATTTAAAAATAACTTTTTCAACAATTTTGCTAAAACACGATGTAATAGATATTGGCCTTTAGTTAGAGACATAATTTTGAGCACCCTTACCAACTGGGCCAGGAGTTTTTTTCTCATTAAGTAAACACAGTTGATCTTTAATGTCCTCTTCAAATATAATATTATTGTCTAGAAGGAAGGGAAAAGTATTTTCATGGGGGGTAAGGGGTTCAAGATTTTCAGAAGAAGTTGATATTGAGCTGAAGTAGTTATTAAGACATTCTGCTTTTTCAAATAGATGATGTATTAAGTTATTATTTTCAGAAAGAGGAGGAAGACAATTTGATACATTATTTGAATTCATGACAGATCTAGCAATTATACACCATTTATTTGGAAGCACAGATTGGTCACTAAGTGATTGCTGTAATATTTTGTAATAAGTGTTTTTAGCTTCTCTAACAAGGTCTACTACTTCCTTTCTAGCCTTTATGAAATTTTCCCAATTAATTGCAGTGTTGTTATTTACAGCTTTGTTATGTAACCCATTTCTATGTCTATTTTTTGCCTTATACTATTCCTCATCCAATTTTTATCATTAGGGCGAACAGTTACAATTTTTTGTGGTATACATTCTGCTAAATGTAAACACGATAATAAATATTGATATTCGTCAGTATCTTGGCTTGTCGTTAGTAGTGCACAGCCTTAATTGGAGCATTGGTTCGTGTAGACACCAAACGGTGCAGTTGTCACCGAGACAAAAAATGATGGTGAATATATGACGCCAATATTTTGTATTCTTTGTAGAAAACACTTGTACTTAATCGTGATAATTTCTCTTTCACTTTCAGGAAATCTGTGTTTGGATGGAAACATTTATCAATCCCTGTCAAGGATGACGCATCAGCACCAGACTTAGTGTGTAGGGAGTGTGTGCAAAAACAGTATCTTCCAGGTCCTTAACCGACCCTGTCTATGACAACGTTCGTTATATCGAGAATTAAAGGAAAAGCATGATGATAAACTGGTTTAAGTGACTGGATGATCCGCCTTTTAATATACATACCTATTTAGATGACTGTAAATGCATGACCTTAAAACAATGAAGCTGGAGAATGCTAAACGGTGTTGTTCCAAAGGTAGCCTGGCGTGTTGTGTCATTAGTGTATGCGCAATGGTATATGTTTTACAATACTACGATCTTCAAAAGCTACTTCCTGCGAATGGTAGGATTTCAATAACAAACACTTCTCATTATACCCGTTTTATTGCCAAATATTTTAATTATGAAAATGAATCCCTAAATATACAGGGATCTTTCGAAGACGATACTCCTCAATCGAAAATTTTACTCAGCATTGCTAATCTTCCGTCTGATTTTTTAAAACGATTACGTGGTAATAAGTATGCACATTCTACTTTACAAGAAACATCAAACAGAGTTACACCCAGTTCGAATAAGTTTGTAAATAAATGGCTTCTTCCTCCAAGAAAATCAGCAACGATGATAAACTGTCCGCTGCTTTTCACAGGAGACCCAGCTGAACAAAAACGTGCAAAAGAATTAATGTCAAGTCCAAAACCAGCACTTCCGCTAATGGCTTATACAGAAATGACAAAGGACTGCGATTTATTTAAACGTAAGAGGCACTACATAACAAATCCGTTAACTCGGGAAGAGGAGGACTTCCCAATAGCTTATAGTTTAGTTGTTTTTAAAGAGCTAGAACAGACAGAACGTCTCCTCAGGGCTATATACCGCCCGCAAAACTTCTACTGTATACACATCGACTCTAAGGCTGAGGAAGAGTTCCGGGACACGTTAACGGGAATAGCCGACTGTTTCGAAAACGTGTTCATCACTAATACTTCGGTAGACGTGCGTTGGGGAACGTACACAATAGTTGAGCCCGAAATCGTCTGTATGAAAGAACTATGGAAGTACAAAACATGGAAGTACTTTATTAATTTGACTGGACAGGAGTTTCCTCTCCGAACGAATGCAGAATTAGTGAGAATCCTTAAAGTGTATAACGGGACTAACGATCTTGAAGGCACGGTCAAAAGGTAGGGATGAACAAAGGTAATTGTGCTTGGTTTGACGCTAAACGATTCCTTATCATATCCCGGTAATCCTGTATTATGCTAACATTACACTACAACCGTCTTCTCAGACTATTCCTATCATTTCAGTGTGATTAAACTCTTACATGTAATATTAATTAACCAATTAATACAATTTGTTAATTTTCAACCGTAAATGATCGATTTTCTTTAATTGATATTCATTCTTTTGAACTGTTTTACCAAAGATGAGTCCTAAATTTCCAATCTTCATATGGTGCAGTATATTACTATTTTCTGCTAATTTCTCCATTGACACATAACTTTCTTTTCAAATAATTGCTTCCTGACTTTGTTTTGTCTGATATTTATTTCAAGACTGTGAGTGAATTATAACATACATAGTGTTATCAATTATTTTATTGGATCTTAAAATCTGTTGTATTTAAATAAAAAAAAGAAAATAAATAAATATAAAATATGGGTAACTTTAATCTTCATTTTAACATGTTTTACAAACCCAAAAAATATTATTCTATTGCTAGGGCGAACCCGGGCCGTTGGGAGAAAGTGGGAGATCCTCCGGGCGGTATCCGACCCTTAAAGGGGTCTGTTCATATCACCGTCAACAGGGGTTTCGTGGACTACGTCCTCCATAACCAGACGGCTATAGACTTCCTGAACTGGACACGAGGAATCGACTTTCCCGACGAGTGTTTCTTTACTAGTCTTAACCATAACCCCCACCTCGGGATACCCGGCACTTACAAAGGTATTTTTAGAAATAGTCATGCTTGCCTTCAGACAAAATTGGTTTGGATTGGGTTTATAACGTTTCACGTACTATTTACAGCTTAAGTCGTTCAAGGTCATGCCTCCAATCGTGCATGCGAGTATGTGTTCCGGAGACAGGGTATGCCGGTGTACTTTCCACCTTGTGATATCGCAGATCTGATTCCGAATTTATAGTGCTATCTCCCTGAAGTCAACCACAGTAACGTCCTACGAGTAATAATTAAGTCAAGAGGCTCACCGGGCCTGTATCGATTGTTTTATTTTTTGTTCTATTTTGCAATTGTTACTTTTCCTCCGTCATAATTTTCTCCTCGTGATATGGTTGACGACTGCGGTTATCATATTGTTAGGTTTTGTTTCAAATCCTAGAAGGCATACTGACATGACATCTTCTTACCACATGACGTTATAATGTTATGTTTGTTGGTTTTCAGTAGGGTTCAGAGTTATAAAGCGTAACTTTGGGCAACAATATATTTCAATATATACTGGGGTAGTAGCTTGCAGTCAAAAATCCTCTTCCTCTATCCTTTTTGCACTCCCAGACGATATGTCGTTTAAAAAAATATGTTCAAATTACTTTGCCCCGATCCTCATACTTACCTGCAGTCAGCCCTTACATTTATAAAATTATGAATTCTCACCTGCGAATGCTTTCATCAAATTTGGTTGATATCTATATTTTAGTTAAAAAGAAGAAATCGCTTAAAGCCATATCGCTAGTTTAGTAATTGTTTGTCCCAATCCTCAGTTTCTCGGGGGTCAGATCCCCCATTTGTAAAAGTTTGACACCCCGCTTGCTTGGCATGCTTCAAGTTAAATACAATGAATTTCAATCAGCGGTTAAGAAGAAGTTACTTTTGATTGACGGACGCCACGGTACAGAAAGAAACATGTTAAAGCACTACTACAAATGAGTAATCTCTCTTTTCATCAAAACAGTATTTATTTATCAAATAAATAATTCCACAAATTCAATTTCACAGGTGAGCCAGAAACCAGCACGGATGTAAAACCATTCCTAACGCGGTTCAAAAATTGGGGAAATGGGCCTTTTGATTGGCCGTGTCATGGAAAGAGAGTGCGAATGATTTGCATTTTCGGAGTTGGTGACCTTCCGTTGCTTGCGCAGAGGCCGGAATTCTTCCTAAATAAGCTTTATTGGGACTTTGAGCCGTTCACACTTGACTGTATGGAAGAGTTGGTGTATAACAGAACACGTGAAGGCTACCTCCAGATAACAAAGTTTGACACATCGTTCTATGAAAATCTCGACATTGTGATAAACAGAGTGTTATGAACAGGGTTCATGTTTTAATAATATTTTTAACGTGTGATATTGTAGTATATGCCGGGTGTGATTATGCTTCCTGAAGTGAAGAAATCAGATAATTTGCAGTTATGTACGGATGACCAGGGGAGTTAACATCTCTATGTGTAAGGTTTTCTAATATGAATTTGAAAACAAATTATTACATTTTATTTGTTCTCTGTATTTCCTAATACATTTCTGCTTATAAACTTATATTTCTGTTTACATACATTTTACATTATACATGATGAATGATGAAACGTGAATCATTATAATCCTACGGATCACCTTGTTCATGTCATTGTACTCGTATTGTCTTGTCCAACTTCGGTGTCAAAAGTTAAATTTGAAATACAACTCTCAAGCGTTATAGTTGGCAATTTTGTTACATAAAACTGAACATGTTATATTACATTTTGTATTTAGTCTATAATGATGTATGTTTAGCAAAGCATTGTTAACAAATATGGGAAGTTAGTCGACTAATTTAGTCATGTTAAGACAAGCATCATTTGACTTGGTTTATATTTCACCGACAAGAATTATCCATCTTATAAAAATGAAATAAAAGAAATGTTAAAAAACAAGAGGCCCAGAGGGCCTGTATCGCTCACCTGGAAATGTTAGCAAAATTGAAGTTTGAATAGCTAGATGTTGCTGGTAGTGTACATGTATTGCATGGTTAGTCAGGGGTTATATTTATATGCAATTGGACAAAATCCTGTCATATCTACAGGAAAAAGAGGATTTTGAAGAATTTGCTGTTTCCACTATTGGGCCCCGCACCTCTTCCCCGTAGGGGATAAGACCCACAGTTCATACAGAATTGGTTCCCCTTCACTCAAGGGTGCTTCGCCAACAATTTGGGCAAAATCCTGTCATTCCTACAGAAGAAGAAGTATTTTGAAGAATTTGCTACTTCCCCTATTGGGCCCCACCCTCTGCCCAAAGCCCAAAGGTGTGTGTGTGTGTGTGTGTGTGTGTGTGTGTGTGTGTGTCAAACTCACCATTTATACAAAATGTATTTCCCTTCCCCATACGATGCAATTCTTCAAATTTGGTCAAAAAACATTGTACACACCGCTGATACAAAATCAGGTCGCCTTCACCCAATGATACTTTAGACTAAATATGGACAAATTCCTGTCATTCCTACAGAAGAAGAATGGTTTAATGCTTTTTTAATATTTTCCTTATTTGCCCCTGCCCCCAGCGGGTTCAAACCTCCAATTATACAAAATTAATTTCCCTTTCAAATAGGATGCTTCTGTTCAAATTTGGTCAAAATACCTTTATCCCAACGGGAAAAGAAGGATAACAAGGGGCCCATGGGCCTTAACGGTCACCTGATATATTCATACAGACAGTTAATTTTGCATTTAACACGAACAGAAATATTATTCAAAGTGACAAAATACAATAAAACCACCTTATTCAATATCTAGAATACAGATTTAAGACTAAAAAGTATTTGAAACTAGCACCTCTGATTCTCAACAAGGAAAATGAAGAAATTTTAGCACACTGGCTTAACATTTTCAATGTATCAAACTGTCAACTCAGGGTTATAATTCCAATCAAGTTATTAACAGGTAATTTTCAAAGTATCATTTGTCATTATAAACCATAATAAATTTTGCCCCCCCCTTTCCCCATGGGGTAAACGTGAGACCCTAGGATTATAAACCTTAAGTCTCTTCCATCTATTAAGAGTGTTTGATTCTGCCATATCTGGGTCTTTGAGAAGAAGATTTTTGAAGACCCTTCCATCTATGAAGAGTATTTGATTCTACAATATCTTGGTCTTGAGAAGATTTTAGAAATTTCAGTCAATTCGACCCTTTTTGGCCCCACCCATCAGCCCCTGGGGGTCAGTCAGGGCTCATATGTGCATACTATCAAACTGCTACCTAAAACTGATAATGCTAACCTAAATTGAATTACTTCCAATGGAAATAAAACAAATGTTGGTCCAAAATCTATGAAAAGTATTTTATTCTATCATATCTGGGTCTTGAGATGAAGATTTTAGAAATTTTATTCAATTTGACCCTTTTTGGCCCCGCCCGCCCCTCGGGGCTGGGGACCAAACCGGCCACTATTTTTGTTGACCTTTGGCCATGGAGGGTTTCTGCAAAATTTCATTGAAATTGGTTCAGGGTTTTGGAGAAGAAGTCGAACATGTGAATTGTTTACGGACGCACGACGGACGAGGCCGGACAAAAGGCAATCGCAATAGGTCATTTTAGACTTTGTCTCATGTGACCTAATAAAGCAGCTATTCCTCTATATCCTCTATTGGGCCTCGCCTCAATGCCCCAAGGAGGGCAGACCCACCGATTATACAAATTTAAGTTCCCATCAGCAAAGGATGCTTTAGACCAAAAATGATCAAAATCCTGTTATTCCTACATAATAAAAATTTTCAAGATTTGCTATATTACCTCTATTGGGCCCAACTTTTCAGGCCCCGGGGGGTCAGACCCACAATTTACACAAGATTGATTTCCATTCCCAATAGGATGCAACTGTTCATACAAAATTGGCTCACTCTCACCCTAGGATGCTTCATACCAAATTTGGACAAAATCCTGTCATTCCTACAAAAGAAGAAAGATTTTGAAGTATTGGGGCCCGCCCATCTGCCCCCAGGGCGGGGCACACCCACTGTTTATACAAAATTGAGTCCCTTTTGCCCAAGGATCCTCAAGACTATATTGGGAAGAGCTCCCTAAATCCCTATGGTAGAAGAAGGATTTTAAATGTTTGCCTCTATTTCCCCTATTGGGCCCCACCCTTCTGCCCCCTGGGGGATCTCACTCACTGTTTATAGAAAATTCAGTCTCTTTTGCCCAAGGATACTTCAGACCATATTGGGAAGAGCTCCCTTAATCCCTATGGTAGAATGGTTTTTTAAAGGTTTACCGCTATTTCCCCTATTGGGCCCCGCCCTTCTACCCCCATGAGAGCCACACCCATCATTTATACAAAATTGAGCCCCCTTTGCCTAAGGATGCTCCAGACCAAATTAGGGTAACATTCCTTAATCCCTATGGTAGAAGAAGGATTTTAAATGTTTGCCTCTATTTCCCCTATTGGGCCCCACCCTTCTGCCCCCTGCGGGACCTCACTCACTGTTTATACAAAATTGAGTCTCTTTTGCCCAAGGATCCTCCAGACCATATTGGGAAGAGCTCCCTTAATCCCTATGGTAGAATGGTTTTTTAAAGGTTTACCGCTATTTCCCCTATTGGGCCCGCCCTTCTGCTCACAGGAGAGCCACACCCATCATTTATACAAAATTGAATCCCCTTTGCCTAAGGATGTTCCAGACCAAATTAGGATAACATCCCTTAATCCCTTAGGTAGAAGAAGGATTTTAACGTTTTACCTCAACTATACCCTATTGGGCCCCACCCTCTGCCCCCTTCGGAGCCACACCCACCGTTTATACAAAATTGAGTGCCCTTGACCCAAGAATGTACCAGATCAAATTTAGTTTAAGTCCACTAAGCTTGACCGACGGACGAACGACGGACGCTGCGCCATGACATAAGCTCACTTACCCTTCGGGCAGGTGAGCTAAACATAAGAGGTCTATAAAGCCTTATCTCTAAACTTGAAATTTAAGCATAAGTGGCAAAATATTTTACTGCATATATCCCAGCAACACCTTTTTGGGTTTGGTTTTTTTAAAAGCGATAAATCAGTAAAACAGTGTCAGCTCACGGTCGCTTACAGTAGTAACAAGTCGTGTACTGCCCTAGAAATTCTCCTTCCAGCTACCCATTCTACTCTTATGTCAGTGACAACCCCCGGTTAATTTAACATTCAATTACTACAGCTTCACATTCCAGAAGATGTGGAACCTCGAAAGTTAACGGCTTTCCACTTCGAGCTAGTAAACAGATGGCTGCTGAGCAGTTCGGTGCGCGTCTACACATTATTCTTTCGCAATGACCTGTCAGATGATTTTATATCTAAACGTATGTATTCATCAACATAAATTAAACATAACATTTAAAATATGGCGTTGTGTTTTGTTTCTACATAATTTGGCTGTATTGAACCATCAACATTTTGTATGATAGTCCTTCCATAAAGGATTAATTATTTCTTACATAACGTCAATACGTAGACTTGGCTGTTAATAGGACGTTAAACAAAATCAAACAAACAAACAAACGTAGACTTGGGAAAAACTATCAAGATGGACTTCACAAATTCAAATAGTTGAAAACAACACACGCTAATTGAAATATAAGGGTTGAATCTTGCTTTGGTTGATTTCATTTGGTGATGAGTTGGTCTTAAAACAAATTCAACATGAACTGCTTAGCTAGACCACAGCAACATTCAACATTTAAGCCAAACGTTAGATGTTGCCAAGCAAGGCGCTTGGAAATAAAAGGTAGTTAAAAGCAGAAAGAAAGATAAAGATCCCATATATTGCAATAGGTGCAGCAGATTTAATTTGGTCGCTTTTGTGTCCCCGTAATAGAGGACATTGAAGCAAATCCTTAATTCTGGGGGGGGGGGGGGTTCCATAAGTAGCCTCCTACGATACATGTAGTGGGTAACACCCCGATCCTCCACCTGTGGTAATTCATAAGTTGTTTGAACTTTTTTTAGACAATTGACCCCCTTTGACCTTGAATATGAGTCGAGGTCATTAATTTTAACAAACTTGGTAGCCCTTCATCCCAGCATGCTACTGGATAAATATCATCACCCTGGGCATTTTTGTTTCAAGTATTGTTTAAATTAAATTATTGATGCCGGGTGACGGACCACGGCATAAACTCACCTAAAAGCAGTGTTCAGGGATTATATTTTAGTGTTAATTTTGTACTCAAATGTAAATACTGACAAAGAGATGTCGCCAACACCATACAAAAATCTGAACAGATTTTAAAAGGAAGCCAGTATACAAAGTTGTGAAATGTCAATTTTAGAGAAAGAACGCGCATTTACACGCCAGATGTAAAGATAATATGTAGAGTACATAATTGAATAAGCAAGCATGTCTTAATATGTTTGTCAATTTGTTTTCTTTTCTGAAGAACAATATTACCGCATACGATTTTGAGTACAGATAACTAATTAAATCCCGTCTTGCTAAATTCTGACATTCGTTGTCCATGAAATACACGAGTAAACTATCATGTCAATCATTATATTATGTTCGTGGTGTCAAATCGTTATAGATAGAACATTTTCTAAATATATAATGCATTTGTTGCTGTTTATTTGTTTTGCTACCAAATTGTTCGAGTAACCGGTTACAAAATTAAGACCGGTTTGACAACCCAAGTATTATGGCATTGCGATCATTTTATGATGCATCACTTGCGACTACTGAGTTAGTTTCGGCACCTGATGCAACGGTTCCTGTTACGAGTAGATATTGTTATATTTTATAATACAAAAAAAAGAAATGTATGTACCCTTCCAGAGCAATGATTTCATATCTGATTCAGTAAGAACATTCGTGTTCTTTGTTCCTTTGATCAAAGAAAGGTGTTCTTTGTTAGATATGACTTGTATATCAGTTTATATACGGTATATATCGCGCAAATTGTCTTTTGAAAACGTC